GTCAGGGCACACGTGCATGTTGTGGGTTCAGTCCTCGTCGGGGTGCATGCTGAGGCAGCTGATCAATGTTTCTCTCCCTCTCCTTTCCTCTCTAAAATCAATAAAGACATTTAAAAAGTAGGTATGAAGTATTACCTCTCCTTTCTTTTCTTTTTTTTCTAATTGTAAGAGTAACACATAATTTTTGTAGAATGCTTAGAAATACAGAAAATGGAGAGAAATCCCACCACTGGAGATGAGTGCTCCTTCTCTATGTGTTCTTTTATTTAAATTAGGTCTATTTTTTCTAAGAAGGTCCTTGGAGAAGGCAATGTTTATCTCACAGTACTTTGAGAAGTTAAGGCCAGGTTTTATCTATACCCTCTGATAACCATTCATAGTTCAGCAAAGTCTCATTTTTCCCTAAAAGATATCCTTCCTCCACCCTTGACGTTGGAGGGATGAGAGTCTGCAGGAAGGTCAAAGTTGAAAGGTTGAAGGAAGTGGCTGAGAGAGGTAGGAGCCTATTAGTAAATTAAGGTGTTGAAAAATCAACTTTTAAAGAGAACTTTTTCTGAAAATAGGGTGGAGGGGGCAGGAAATCTGCTTTTTACTTGACATTTGGGACCTAACGTTTTATTTCTTAAAAAAAAAAAAAAATTCCAGAGAAAAGAAATTCCACGGACCATTGGCTAAAAACTCCAAACTCTTATTCTATTATTTGTACATGTATTTGATGTGTTTATGGATTCACAGAGAATGTTTACATAGAGTTACTGCAGTCAGCTGACAGGAAGGAGGACATGTGGGGTGGGGGTAGGTCAAGCCGTAGGAAATTCCAGAGAGTCTTCAAGTGTCTTGTCTTTTCTTAACAGATTTTGATGGTTAAGGCTCCCTCAAATGTCTGAATAAAAAGGGCTGAAATTCGAACGAATGTGTTACAGAAGAGTGTTTCTGTATCACAATTCCTGTTTTTTTCTTTCTGTGTTCCTCTACTTCCTTGAGAAATATTGGAGGAAACCCCTCCTTCTTCCTGTGCTTCAGATTACCACTTTTAAAACGAGGGTCATAAAATTCATAGTAAATGCATTTGAATTGCATTTGTTATTCTGGATATTTGAGTGGTTTGGAGGTGAAAAGGCATTTAGAAAATGCTTAGTGCTTCACCTGAGATCTCATTAAAAGCAGCCTCAGATCTGTATTCCTCCTCAGAACCAGTATCTGTAACTTTGATTTCCAGAGACATTTCTGTTTTTCTCTAAGGCCAAATAGCTTTGCACAGTCACTTTTTTAGTACTTGAAAAAAGATACTAAGGTATTGATACCCTCATGAGCCAGAAGGCTTTTCTTTTTCCTAAAGGCTCTTTCTTTAACCCAAAGATTTAAATGAAAAGCTAACAAAGATTGGAAATTTTATGCATTTAAAACCAAAGAAAGGCTCAGCCCTGGCAGGGCATATGTACTGGTTCTAAATGGCCTTGCTCCCAGTAACACCAGTGCAGGGCCTTCCCACGTGACTGTAAGTACAGACAGAAAACTGAACACTCAGCAGATTACGAATGTAACACATACTCTTTGATTTTTAAAAAAATATATTTTTATTGATTTCAGAGAGGAAGGGAGGAGAGAGAGATAGAAACATTAATGATGAGAGAGAACCATTGATCGGCTGCCTCCTGCATGTCCCCTACTGGGAATTGAGTCTGCAACCTGGGTATGTACCCTGACCAGGAATCAAACCGTGATTTCCTGGTCCATAGGTCGATGATCAACCACGCCAGCCAGGCCACAAACTCTTTGAATTGTACTGGAACTTTACCTTGACAGGATGTAAGTATTTGAAATATTGCTCTAGTATTAAGAATGCAGAACTTGTTTCCTTTCGGTTTAAAAAAAAAGTGTATTTTCAGGCTTTCTCTCTTTTTGAGCCTTGAAAATTCTAATTTTTATAATGATCATCTTACAGTGCAGCAGCATTTGTGATACATCTTTGGAATTTCCTTTACTTTAATTATCTGCAAATGAGAAATGTTTTGAAAAGAGAAAAAAATATGTATGGGAGGGTATCCTGCCAAATTTATCTTTTCCCTTTGGCAAGTGATATTCATTTCCAGATTGGGGGCTGCTCCCGGAGCAACAGTAGGTTGCATCATATGAGTTACGTGGATGTGATTAATGATGCAGCTGATCTGAGTATAATGTGGCAAAGTTAGAGTTGCTACAGCTTATCTTGGTTTTTATTAAAAACTAGAGGCCCGGTGCACAAAAATTTGTGCACTGGCGGCGGGGGGGGGGGGTGTGTGTCCCTCAGCCCCACTTGTGCCCTCTCACAGTCTGGGACCCCTCAGGAGATAACCACCTGCTGGCTTAGGCCCACTCTCCGGGTGGCAGATGGCAGGCCCGATCCCTAGGTGCCTGCCCCACCTCCCCAGGTCACGCACACGGCAGGGCTGATCCTGGGGTTGGGCGCCGCCCCCGTTGGTGCACAGGGCAGAGCCGATCAGGGGGTTGGGGTGCCGCTGCCGGTCGCGCACAGGGCAGGGACGATCAGGGGGTTGGGGTGCCGCCCCGGTCTCGCACAGGGCAGGGCCAATCAGGGGGTTGGGGTGCAAGAATAGGGCTTCCTCGGGCCGATCGTGCCGCCAAGCCCTGCTGCCCAGGGCTGCACACAGGGGTCCCGCCCGCCCAGGGTCGCACACGGGGGTCCTGGCAGGGGGTGGGGCTTAGGCGGTGTGATTGCGCCACCAAGCCCCACCGCCCAGGGCCGCACACAGGGGTCTCAGCTGGCGGCGGGGCTTAAGGCGGCACACAGGGGCCCGGATGGTGGCTCGCGCTGGCCCGCCCTGCCTGAAGTATGCAAATTAGCCGCCATCTTTGTTGGGGGTTAATTTGCATATCGTGCTGATTAGCCAATGGGAGGCGTAGCGAAGGTATGGTCAATTACCCTTTTTGTCTTTTATTAGATAGGATAGATTCAGGGAGCATTTGAGATTTTGCTCTCAGGTATATGTCATCTGTTTTGGCTCAAACAAACTCATAAAAATAAAATAGATTCAACTAGCCCAGCCAGTGTGGCTCAGTGGTTGAGTGTTAACCTATGAACCAGGATGTCACCATTTGATTCCCAGTCAGGGCACTTGCCTGGGTTGTGGGCTCCATCCCCAGTAGGGGTTGTGCAGGAGGCAGCAGATCAATGAGTCTCATCATTGATGTTTCTGTCTCCCTCTCTCTTCCTCTCTGAAGTCAATAAAAATATTTTTATTTTAAAAAAGATTCAACTAACAATGTAAATAGCAAAGCTTATTTGAGGTAAATTATATTAATTGTATATTGAACTTGCAAGAAACTATATTCTTTTTGGTATGGCACAAGCAAACCAATCCTTGGCTCTGACTTCGGAAGTGGTATGTTTTTTTACTGGGGGGTGTGGGGGGACTTAAAATAACTGATAGTTCAGTCTTAAACTTTATTGTTGAGTTAATTAATCCATTGAACTTAGAGGTTTAATAGCTATTTACTAATGTAGAATTCAAAAGGGTACTAAGTCTGATCTGTTATACTGGATTTCAGTTATCTTTTCTACTTCATGTTATCTTGAGATATAAATGATAGGATGTGGTTGAAGGCTCTCATTACAATCTGAATAAACATGACATGCTGCATACTATGGAAACATTCTATGCCTTTCTGTTGAGTCACTTTTCCAGGCTTAAAAATTATAATTTATAATTTTAATTAGAGATCTACCTTAGATAGGAGAGATAGAAATATAGTGATTTACAGGAATCACAAAATACTTTACTCAAAAAAAAAAGTGTATCGTTCACTTTTAAAAAAAGGCATTTTTAAAAAAAGGCATAGTCTCTTGCCCTCAGTAAGCTTCCAGTCCAGTAGAGGAACACACAGCAGTTTGATAAGCATTGTCATGGAAGTGTAACCAGGTACTTGGGTACAGAGGAACAACTACTTAGATTTATGTAGGACAGGTAGGACAGACTTCATAGAGGGAAAGTTGCTTAGTTTACAGAGTCTTGAAGGAACAAGCATTTGCTAGACAACAGAAGGATAAAACGCTAATCCAGGTAGAAGGAACTAACTTACAATATCATGGACTTCACAACAGTTTGCTTTTCCTGGAGGGTAAAGGATGAGGAAGAGGATATACCCAGAAAGGGTAGGTAGGGGCCAGATCTAGAACTGGTCTTCTGTGACATACTAAACACTTTAGATTTAATTCAAGGAGTGATCAGGAATCCTTAAAGAATTTTAAACAGGCCTGGCCAGAAGGTCACAGTTGGATTCCCTGTCGGGGCACATGCCCTGGTTGTGGGCTTGATCCCCAGTAGGGGGTGTGTAGGAGGCAGCTGATCCATGCTTCTCTCTCATCACTGATGTTTCTCTCTCTCTCTCTCTCTCTCTCTCTCTCTCTCTCACTCCCTCCCTCCCTCTCTGAAATCAATAAAAATATATTTTAAAAGAATTTTGAACAGGAGAGTAACATAAATTATATTTGGGGATAATTGCTTTGTATTACTTGGGATAATGGCAGCATCATAGAGACTTGATTGGAAGGTAGAAGAGCCAGTTAGAAAGGTAATCAGTAGTCCATCCACTGTAGCAGCAGCAGAGATAAGGTAGGACGTGGAAGGGAAACAGCAGATATTGCCATCAGGACTTGGCACTTTGGAGACATATGTCATTGTCATCTGGGACATGAAGATTTCCCTCAATGATGTTTAAATTACGAGGCTTTCTGGTTAAGCTGGTTAGGTACTGATCATTAGCAGAGAGATATAACCTTGATAGAGTTAACTTATTTTTCCCTGGGCACTTGTGAACATGTAGTGCTTGATACTGATAATATGGAAAATATATACTGTGGAATATACAAACAAATATAAAATTTAATCTCTTCTGGATTTTTATTTATAAAGGAGATTTGCAGTCCTCCTTTTTGAACATTGCATCAAGATTTCCCATCTTCTATCAAAATTTATTGCTTGGTTTTGTTTTCCAAACAGATTCTTCGGACCCAAAGCCGAAGTGCAGGTGGAAAGAGGATCTCTGAAAACAGCTATTCTCTGGATGATTTGGAAATAGGGCCAGGTAAGCAGAGAGTTCCATGTGCATGACGTTCTCTGGGAAGTACTCTTCAGTAAACAGTATCTTTTGGCCTCAACACCAATGCTTTTGAAGGAAGAGTGGTACAAATTAAATGGAAGTCTATCTGTTAGATACTGTTATGGAGAGATGCATGGGTTGTCTTTCTCCATTGCTAGTGGAAGTGAGGTATCCCTTTCCCCATTGGGTGCTGCGTACTTATGATATCGAGAAAAATAATTTTCTGAGACTTGCATGGGAGGATGAGTGACTTTTATTTGCATGTAATTATGTCTTTGGGTTTCCAAAGTTCCATTTCCCTTAATCCAGTCATGGAAGACGTGCAGCAGGGGATTCAGTAGAGCTAGAAGCAAAGCCAGGGTCCAAAGTTTCCTTTCCCTGGTGGAATTGGGTGCGGATTAGCATCAGGCTAGTTGCAGTGCATCAGTCCATTGTGTGGGGTCCACATGGCCATGGGCCATGTGGGCGAATGCAGGAGTGTGAGAGTCCTGCAAGGCAGGAGTTAAACACGAGCAGGCAAGAGGCAAGAGTGCGAACCAAGCCTGTGAAGCAGGAGGTCACAGATTCCTGGTTGGGGTACATGCCCTAGTTGCGGGCTTGATCCCCAGTGTGGGGCATGCAGGAGGCAGCCAATCAATGATTCTTCTCTCATTAATGTTTCTATCTCTCTCTCCCTCTTTCTTCCTCTCTGAAATCAATATAAAAAATTATTTTTTTTAAAAAAAGAGTGTAAACCAAGACAGTGAACTCCTTTGTTTAGGAGCTTAGCTATCCCAAGTCTTCCCAGGCTTGCTCTGGCTACACTACTCTGGCCAATGATCTGTTCCCAAGTGTGACTGACAGACAAGAACCTTTCCTTTATCACCCAGACTTGACTGGGCATGCATTTGAACTGCAGCTTCCTGGCAAAACTGTACAAATGAGTATAATATTTGGCCTTCTCTTTGCTCCTTTCCTACTAATTAATAATTAGGTTAAATTACAACAGTATCAATACAAGCCATTCCCAAATGTCATTGCTCTCCACAAACAGCTTCTCTGTGTTTTTAATCCATCCTTGTTAGTGGTAACCTGTGGTAAACATCTGGTACCTTTGCAGGATTCTAAAGGAAGTGCTACAGAGAATTTTGGCTCCATGGTCATTTGAGGCTTGAGGGGCTCTCATGGATGGGCAGTATCAAAATTGGTTATCCTGATCCCTGGCCAGACAGCTCAGTTGGTTAGAGAATTGTCCCCATATACCAAGGTTGTGGGGTCTGATCCCCAGTCAGGGCACATACAAGAATCAACCAATGAATGTATAAATAAAAGTGGAATAACAAATTGATGTTTCTCTCTTTCTCTCTCTCTCTCCCTAAAGTCAATAATAAAAAAAATTTTGTTTAAAGATGGGTTATCTGTACTACCAGTGGTAACAAAACACCTTAAGGGTGGAATTATTATGTTTTGAAGGGCATATAAGGGTAAATAGAAGAAATTTATTCCATTACATTACAATAGCCCCAAATTGAGAATCTTAAAACCACTAAAGTCATATTTTATCTTCTAATAAAGCATCTTTTTGCATACTTCCAGGTCAAGTGTCAACTTCTGCATTCAATTTGGAGAAAAGTGAGACTAGGCGAAACCTGGAGATCCCGCGCCTGTCAGAAACCTCCATAAAGGATCGAATGGCCAAGTACCAGGCAGCTGTGTCCAAACAAAGCAGTTCCACCAACTACACAGTATGTGTTCTGCATCATTCATTTATTTATTCATTCATTCCTTAATCCAGCAAATGGTCACTGGGCACAGGAACTAGAAATGTCACCAGACCCTGACTTGTGAGCCCTGGCTCCTTCCCTCAGCCTCCCAGCCCCCATTCCCTTTTCACAGAGATCCTACGCTAGCTCTATTTCCATCCCTACCATGTTCTGTCCTGTCTTTGCTTTCCTAGGCCTCATTCCCACCCCACTCATTTTTTGTATGATGTTACCATTCAGTAATGTCATAGAGTTTTTCTGTCTCTTCTGCTTAATCTTGTTGTTAAAGGAGTATTTTATTAGTTTTTACAGAAACATCTTTTTTTATTTCTGTTTTTTGATGAAAGAAAGGGCAAATGGTGTAGATATATTTGACATTAATATGGGTGGGTTTTTTGCAAATTTTTATTGATATATAATTCATATGACATAAAAATCACCATTTTAAAGTATAACAACTCAGCAATTTTTAGTATATTCACAAGGTTGTGCAACCATCCCCACTGTCAGATTCCAGAACATTTCCATCATCCCAAAAAGAAACCCCATGCCTGTGCATCACTTCCAATTCCCCCAGCAGCCACTAATTTACTTTCTGTCTTTATGGACTTGCCTATTCCAGACATTTCTTATAAATGAAATTGTATAGTATACAGCCTACTTAATCTTTACTCCTTGTGATGTAATGATTTTCTAAAAAATATTGGAATAGTGGATGAGAAAAGGGGAGAGAAATGACAAGATGATGTGCTCAGTAAGAACAAAAAGTTGGTCTTCTAAATAAAATGGAGGGTTTTTCTATTTTATACTTAACTAGGCTTAACTGGCAGGATGCCACTATGGCACTGCTTAATTGAAGTTGCCTTTTAAATGCCATTTATTCATATGTACACATGCATATATACACATGTACACACACCTATATATGTATCTTTCAAATATTTGTTCCAAGATTTCAAATTACAATCCATTAATTTCTTTTTTTTTTAAATTATATTTTATTTCAGAGAAGAAGGGAGAGGGGGAGAGAGAGAGAGAAACATCAATGATGAAAGAGAATCATTGATCGGCTGCCTCCTGCAAGCTCCCTACTGGGGATGGAGTCCGCAATCCGGAATCAAACCCAGGACTCTTCAGTCCGCAAGCCTATGCTCTATCCACTGAGCCAAACTGGCTAGGGCCGTTAATTTCTTGATGTCCTATTTTTTAACAAAGTTGGAAGACTAGTATTGAATTTTATTTGTTCCCAGCCAGACTGAAACTGGTGCCTATTAGAAATTGTAACGTGTATTTCAGGAGTTGAGCCTTCTTTTTCCCACATTACTAAGTATGCATTCTCCAGTAGTATTTATTGGTGGGTTAAGTCTCAGGGCAATGAATGATTTCATCTTGATTTTTCACTGTAATTTTAAGAAGAGATGAGTATAAATCAATAGTGAGTATGAAAAATGAGCAAACTTAGACTTCTCTGAGAAGGCAGGTCAGGAGATACAGCAAATCAGTGATCTGTGCAGCTCTGTTCCCTCTTGTTACAGGATTTTGCTGCTTCTCAGTGCCCTGCTGCTATAAACATTCCGACCAAGTGACTCCCTAAGTGGAAAAACCTGTTCAGTGACCTTTTTTTAAAAACTCCTAATAGAGTTTCTAAATTGCAGTCTCCATCTCTGAAACTTTTAAGAGTTGAAATGCTTTAGGAATTCTTGTAAAAACTACATTTTATCTCACCCCCAAAGAATTTCTCAGGCCCCCTACAGAGGATGGTTGTAACAAGGCACACACCCTATGGCAGTGATTTTGGAGGCTGGGCTCTGAGATGGGGTCAGGAATGAGTGGTTGGACTGTTGTACTACTGTCTTCTGCAGTGCTGGCTGCCAGCTCCTCCCTATAGATGCACCTCCAAAATGTGTGCCTTAATTTGGAATTCCACACCTGATTAAGTCAGTCACACTCACACTCCCTTCATTGGCCCTGTGGCCATAATTATGTTTTCTCCCCATGCCTACAGAATCACAGAAAACAGAAAGGTACTATATTTCTAGTAGACTAATGATAGGAAATGTCCATAATTATCTACCTCTATATTAATTTTGGGTCTAATATATAAAGTTAATTTTAATATTTAATTTCATATTAAATTTTAAAATTTAATATGTTCTTTGCAAGGGAAAAAAATTTGATTATGCTTATTTCTATGATAGTATTAATGCCTGCTTGGTATGTTGAGGCTCTGTTATGAGTAGTAGAATAAGGTATGTCTTTAGTACAATGTATGAATTTTATATAAAAAAACATGTTTGTTGAAAGTCTCACTAAAAAAAAAAGGTTGTTTTATAGTTATCATTAAATATAATTTGTTTTCATATGTATACATCATCCCTGTCTCTCTTTCCAGGCCGGGCATATTTATATATATGGTCAGTATATTTTCTTAATTATTGGCACTTGGCATCTCCTTTCCCTGCTCCAGAATGGTCTTTTCTGATAAAACTCACAAGCTTTGCATTCCCACAAGCTCTGCTGCTAGAAGAGTGAATCACAAGAACATTGTATGCTGGGGGTGGTCTGTGTGTGTCTGTGTTGATGTGTGTATATTCTAATGAGCATCCGGTTTTAGACTAGTGTACAAATATTTAACTCTGAGGGATGTGTCCACAAAGCTGCTTTTGTCGTTTCACAAGTCAGTGGGTTTTGCTTGTGAGCATTAGGGGGTTGATTTGACCTGAGGCCTCTTAAAAGAAATTTATTTTCACATTCCAAGTTTACTTAATAGATGTGCTGTGGAGAGAATAGTGAGAATTCATTTTATTATTTTGAGAATTAAAAAAAAAATTCACAGACTATTTTTATTTTCTAGAATGAATTGAGAGCCAATGGCAGTGAAATCAAAATTCATAAGTTGGAACAAAAGGAGAATGTGCCCCCAGGTCCCGAGGTCTGTATCTCCCATCAAGATGGAGAAAAGGTGGGTTCAAAAGTCTGATGTCCAGTTGCCAAAGAAGCATGTGCTCTAAATTAGATGCTTAAAATTAGAAACCACTCTAACTCTGGGCTGTAGAGTGTCTGGGAATTTGGTAACAGCTGCCAACACAGATTGTTGTTTTTGCAGGTCACATAATTTTGGTTGGGGAGCTCTGCAACTTATAGCTGACCAAATAATGAACCTTCGCTGGAAAATTCTTTTGCTCAGCAAATGCTCAGAGGGCATAGAGCTAAAGTGATTTTTGAAAATCCGTTTTGATTAGAAATATTATCTTTCAAAGTATTTGTATATTATTAACTCATTTTATGCAATAACATTTCATTCTTTCACTCAGTATTTTGAAAGGTAGGCACTATGCTAAGCATAGGAAATGCTAAGCTGAAAAACTAAATATGAACATACCATTCTATGTGGTCTTTATCTGCAAGGAAGCTAACAGTAGAAGGGAGATGAGTAACAGGTTGGCCATCATAAAACAGTTTGACCTCTGCTGTGAGAGGGCTATTCAGAGCTGTGGAAGCTGAGACTAAGGACATTTGCCCTAACTTCCTCAGGAAGGTCATGTCTGAGCCAAGTCCTGAAAAATGTGTGAAAATAGGCAAAGTGAATAAGGAGAAGTTTGAGTAAAGAAAGAGAAGGGTATTTCAGACATAACAGAGGTTGTTAATTGGAGATCTAAACTGAGATGACTTGGCTGAGCAGGGCGGTACATACAGTCCATGATGAGAGACAGGTGGAGGGAGAGGGCCAGAGTGGGTCTTGAAGAGCTTTGTATGCTACCCTTAAGAGTTTGGGATGTAGCCCTGCAGTGGTGGAAAGCCAGTGTCAGATTTTAAGCAAATTAGATTTGTATTTTATGCATTTATTGTTAATGAATGGCTTAGTTGGAGTAAGTAACAATATGACTGTCAGGTGAATTTATCATTTTCTTTTCTAATCCATTACCCAATCTCTTTTATCTTTTGGTCTATATCAGTGGTTCTCAACCTATGGGTCGAGACCCCTTTGGCGGTCGAATGACCCTTTCACAGGGGTCGCCTAAGACCATCCTGCATATCAGATATTTACATTACGATTCATAACAGTAGCAACATACAGCTATGAAGTAGCAATGAAAATAATTTTATGGTTGGGTCACAACATGAGGAACTGTATTTAAAGGGCCAGAAGGTTGAGAACCACTGGTCTATATGATAGTGAAATGTTAAGTTAGTTAAGGAGAAAAAGCTTTCAAATCTATTACAGTGATTAATCTTAGGAGAAAAACCATTGTTTCTGTTATACATATTGACACCTTGAAGCCATTCTTCCAAAAGATGAAGATATCATTAAAATAGTTCTCAAACTTATTTCATTCTAACAGACTTTATTTTTTAAATATATTTTTATTGATTTCAGAGAGGAAGGGAGAGGGAGAAAGATAGAAACATCAAATATAACAGAGAATCATTGATTGGCTGCCTCCTGCACGCCCCCCACTGGGGATGGAGCCCACAACCTGCACATGTGCCCTGACTAGAAATTGAACTGTGACCTGGTTCATAGGTCGATACTCAACCGCTGAGCCACATCGGCTGGGCCCTCTAAAGTTTGCTGTATTGACAGAACACTGACAGGAATCATGAAATACACTACACACTTGGTTGGACCAAAGTAGTCACACAGAAAAATGGTCTCAGATTAATGGCTACATAAGTTGAATCATAAATAGAACAGGAAAAAAAATTTAGAAAAATTAAATCACTTTACAAATATATGTTGAAATAATAAGACAAAATATTTGGCAGTAATGTGTTTCATAATCATAAAATTACCAAATAAATTACATACATCCTTGCAACAGTGGGCTCAGGCATCGGTCACATGAGTCACATGTCCTGTATCAAGTGAGTTCTCTCATAAGGCTGCCTGGGTTTCTCATTTTTTAAGTGGAAGATTATGTCTTAAGAATAACGAAGTAAATATGTTTGGAATTTTTTTTATAGCTTATAAAAATGACACTTAAAGGAAAAATATTCCCAGCATTGAAATCCCCCAGTGTACCCTAGGAGCATAGTTTGAGAAATGATCCTCTGGAAAATAATACATGGATTGTCCCTATATCTAATTTCATGTTTTCTTCTTGATTGGATTCATGCTGGTTTGAAACTGGAACTCTGAAACTGGAGGATCAGAACATTTTAATTATAACTTAAAAGAGCTTCAGTGCAACTGAATCACGAACTGGGGAGTGGGTGGGGAAGAAAGGTGTTAAAGATAGGGCATCGTCCTCAAGCACACACTGTGGGTTCATAAATGCTTGGCTGCCTTAAAATTCATAACATTTTTCAGAGCCTCAGCTATCCCTTTGGTTGTTTGCCTACTTTTTGTTAACCAATACCTAAGAACTATTTGAACTTTGATTTGTTCCAAAAGGACATTAGTGCTAGGGCAAACTTGCCTCAAATAGAATATTTTGTAAAGGTATTGTCCTTCCCTTTCTTGTCCTGTGAATGGATTTGTACTTTCCTTTAATGAAATGTTTGAGCAAATTCTCATGTGCTCTCTCCTGGCTATTCCTGCAGTGAAGTCATCTGGGTTGGACATGTGCAATGATGTCATGATTGGCATTAGTTTTACCTTTTAGGTTCAAGGTGACCAAATTAGAGGAGAAAAGAACATCCTGGGATAGATACACCCACTAATTAGCAAGAATTGAAGAGCTTTTTTTTATGGCCATGCATGACTTTCAGAAATTTTATTTCATATCATTAAATGAAATAATGCATGGAAGGCGATCATTTCAGTGAGCATAGTAAACACTCAGTAAATATTGGCTGTTATTATACTGGTTCACTTTATACCATGTCAGAATTCCTGCAATGAAAAGTGAGTAGTGGGGAAGAACCAACCATGCTGAAATTCAGGTGCAGTCGGGCAACAATTTAATGTCCAATATTTTATCATCATAAATGTATTCAGTACGTTAGGCAGCCTAGTATAAACTCTCAGTATCGCACATAAAGTCCCTGACATCCGAGTGAAAGAACTATTACAGAAAGAGCACATATTCGGTCCCTACTGACCCCTCATTATTTTGAGTGTGGACAAAGACACCAGGAAGGCTAGGGACCAGAAGAAAGGACAGAGAACGCTAGTATAAAGTTCTTTATTTAACTTTGATGGTTTCTGAGGGGAAATATGCACCCACACAGAAGATCTGTCATCTTGTTAAACACTGCTATTTTGAGACTGGGATTAAAAAGGGAAACTCACCTTGAAGGTAATACCAGAGGTTGGTTTTAGATACATTTGCTGTACAGCTATCAGAAGGTCTTCTGTGCTAGCAAGCTTGTTTCAGCAGAACGTATTTGGTTGGAAAATAAGGAATTAGGAAAATTAAAGAATAATAATAATAGTTTCTATATGTAAAGACTTTATTTTGCCTTGGAGTGAGTTATGGTTTATGGTGAGGAGCTTTGTTCTCCATGATAGAGGGTTTGTTTGCTGCCGCACACACCCCCGCCCCCCGCCCCTTTTTATTTTTTGAGAATCGAAAGATATGGTTTAGAAGTTCTTTTATAAAGAGAAATGATGCAGAGTTTTGGCAGTGGAGTGCAGTCTGCTTCTGGCCTTACTCTGTAATTGAGAGGCATGTTAATATCCTCATAAAAGACATTGTGCTGCCTCTTGTTTAAATGCTCAGCTGTTCTGGGGCCCGTTATTTCCCCCAGGCAGCCAGTGACTGACTGGAGTCAGCAGGTTTCTATGGCACTAGCAGCAGCTTGCTCATTTATTTTTAATGTGATTCTTAATCCCACCCCTCTTTTTTTTGTAGGTTTCTGCAGCTGAGAACAGCCTGGCAGTCCGTTCCACGCCTGCTGAAGTTGACACCCGTAAGCATTCATTCTTAGATCTGGAGGGTGTCCCCATTGCTGTCAGTGCTGAGAAAGTAACATTAAATTCAGCCGATCGGATCTTTCCCTTGGTTTTAAGGAGTCCTGCTTGAATACCCTTCACACATTTCATGGCTTAGGGAGAAGTTAAATTCAACTATATATTACTAACTTGGGGAAACTGAACACTTTTAAAAAAAAATATGTCTTTATTGATTTTAGAGAGAAGAAGGGAGAGGGTAGAGAGAAAGAAACATGGATTGCTGCCTCTTGCAAGCCCCATACCGGGGATCGAGCCAGCAACCCAGGCATGTGCCCTGACCGGGAATAGAACCAGTGATGTCTTGATTCATAGGTTGACACTCAACCACTGGGCCACACCAGCCAGGCAAACTTTTATGCTTCTCTCATTGAACTTATCCTACTTTTTGTACCAAATCTTTTCAGGTTTAAAGCTGTAAAAACTAATTTTGAAGTTTCATTTAAAATATATATATATATTTAACATATTTTTATTGATTTCAGAGAGGAAGGGAGAGGGAGAGAGAGACAGAAACATCACTGATGAGAGAGAATCACTGACTAGCTGCCTCCTGCACACCCTGCTCTGGGGATTGATCGAGCCTGCTGCAACCTGGGCATGTGCCCCTACTGGAATCGAGCCGAGACCTCCTGGTTCATAGGTCGATGCTCAACCACTGAGCCACGCTAGCTGGGCTGAAGTTTCATTTTAATAAAAGTTGAGCCAAAGATTTCATTCATTTACAGGGATAAAGAATTAGTATTTGAGTAACATATTAAATATCTTTCTCTACTTATCTAAATGTGTACCATAGTCTACCCTCTAGACCAGTGGTCAGCAAACTCATTATTCAACAGAGCCAAATATCAACAGTATAACGATTGAATTTTCTTTTGAGAGCCAAATTTTTTAAACTTAAACTATATAGGTAGGTACATTGTTATTAACTTAATTAGGGTACTCCTGAGGCTTAGGAAGAGCCACACTCAAGGGGCCAAAGAGCTACATGTGGCTCGCAAGCCACAGTTTGCCAACTACGGCTCTAGACCGATTCTAGAGATTTTCCTGTTTTGTTAAATTTCATCACCTTTTCATCCTATTTTGGAGTGATTTTGAGTTTCACTTTGCCCAAAGAAAAAATACTTTGGTTTTCTCTTTACTATATCCACTTTGATTCTGATCTGCAGTGTTTTATATACATATATATATTTGGATTTCTACCTTCTCCCTGGTTAGTTTATTAGACACTTAAAAACTCAGCAACTAAAGTAGAGCTAAATAAATCTCTAGTAAACCCTACCTTATAATTTTAGAGAGAAACGTTTGCTGCTTGAATCCAAGAATATTCCTTTTGCAATCATTTTGCTTGGATAGAAATTTTTCTGGCCCTGGCCAGTGTGGCTCAGTTGGTTGGGTGTTGGTCTGTGCACCGTAAAGGTTGCAGTTCGATTCTCGGTCAGGGTGCATGCCCAGGTTGCTGGCTTGATCCCTGGTCGGGGGCGTATAAGAAGCAGCTGATCCATATTTAGCTCTCATAGATGTTCCTCTCATTCGCTCTCCCTCCCCCTCTCTCTAAAAATTAATTTAAAATATTTTTAAAAACTCTTTTCTGAGTTTTGACTAGGTTTGCAAAACATAGTACTTTGTTGACTTAACTCTATATTATAAGGAATTATTTATGTTTCCTTAGTAGCTGTATAAGTGGCTTTTCTGTGCCTCTTCTTAGTTTTTCACATTATGAATGTATTGGCAGGAAGTTAACTTATGCAGGTGACACATCAGTGATTATGAAAAAAGTTTCATGGAGCCTTTTTCCATAATCTTTAGCCATGGATATCTGCTATAGGACTGATCAAAAAGATAGTGTCAAATCTCTCTCTCTCATACACATTTTGAAATTTCTGCTCTCAAGCACCCCAGAAGGAGTTAACAGGAATGGTAACTACCAAAAAGTCATCAAAGTCTATAAACAGCCTTTAAAAATGACAAAAGTGCCCTGAGCTCCAGCACCCTGTCCATCCCAAACCACTAAGTTATTTGAGCATCATCCCCTGCACTGAAAGGTCGCCAGTTCAATTCTGGGTCAGGGCACATGCCAGCATTGTGGGCTTGATATCTGGTAGCGTGCAGGGGCAGCTGATCAAAGTCTCACTCTCACATTGATGTTTCTCTCTCTCCTTCTCTCTCTACCTAAAATATATATTTATTTATGTGTAAATATATATATAGAAAAAAATATATATTAACTATATATGTATATTTTAAAAATGACAAAAGCTACAGGGCAGAAAGTCCCTTATATAGGGTGTTTTGGATTCTGGCTGTTTATGACAAAGGGTGAGAAAGCCTCCTGGCTGAGAACCTGATTTGTGAGAGACCCTAAGAACATAGCTTTTAGCATTAGAATATTCCATAGTAGAAAAGCAGTGTTTTTCCTGGTGTTGAAAGGACCTGTTTTAGTGAAGGCCCTTTCTTTGCTTTGGGGAGGAACCTCTTCTCTGACTTCCCATGAGGTACTAAAAAATCTCTTCCTTTTGTAACTCAAGCAGGTAACTCCCAGGTTAAGAGTGAGGTCCAGCCTGTCCGTCCCAAGCCACTAAGTCCAGATGCCAGAGCCTCCAGCCTTTCTGAGAGTTCTCCTCCCAAAGCAGTGAAGGTATGATGGCAATTTCTCTGTGAGCCTTTAGACATTGTTTTACTAGTGGAGTCCATTGCACCTCTATCATTATGTTCATTATAACCTGTTTTTACTTTCCAGGGGATAAAAATACCAAATAAGGATACACTTAAGGCCAGTCACTTTTCCTGGAAGTCTTGTTACTTCTGCTCAGATGTTCGGGTCAGGAGAGGGGAGGCTCACTAGGAGCACTCAGTTTGAAATCTGGAAAACTCATGAAAGTTTTAAGAAAACCTGAAGTTAAAAGAAAATAAACTTTTTTTTAAAAGTCCAAGTTCATTCATCTGTGAATGGGTAAAAGCTCACAAAATGGAAAATATGAGAAATCCCTTAAACTAAAATCAGCCCATTGGACAGGAATGTGCAATGTCAACTTCAAAAGAGTGGCTCCCTGGTCTGGGGAACTTTACCATCACATGATTAGTGGTCAGCATATTTAAAGAAAGAATGTGTACATTCCAGAGGGGGTTGGCCAGCCCATTTGCTGTAAAAAATGGACATTCAAGTAACACTTACGTTTTGATATACTCTTATATGTAAAGGAATGTACAAAAGAAAATTTTACTTGGCTATTCAACCTATGATCTCTTTTTACTCACCAATTTTAAAAAAAACATATCTTTTCCCTTTCTACAAACAAATATATATTCTCATAAAAATAAACAAAGGTTTAAAAATATCCAACACCTATTGTAGGCTGATTATTATTAAAACTGACTTGTTTTCGTTGAATGCTTTGCCAATGTTGTGATAATTGACTCATTGGGATTAATAAGCAAACATACCTACATTTCTTTAGTGTCTTTCTCCTCTGGTGCTCTGTTAAGTTTTGTTGCAAAACTTAAGGTTTGAGAGAAACTCAGCAGGCAGAATTAGTTTTCAGGTAGTTGAGGCTGCCCCATCCTCATGCGGACATCTGCCATGCTTGTATCTCTCACCTGTGGGCATGATTGGTCCTTTAATGAAAGTTAGTGCACAAAAAGGATCAAGAGAAGAGGACACAGGTGAGGAAAGGGGAGAGTTCAGTATTTAAAGGGTGGGTTAAAAAGAGGGAGGATGGGTAAAGAAGATAAACATGAATGTTTAAAAGGAAGCAGGAAAAAGAAAGGAAGCAGAGATTCATGAGGAGAGTAAGGTTTATTGAAAAGGAGCAGAAGGTAAAGAAAATAGCAAGAGAAAGCAAGTATAGGGAGAAAGAACAGAGTTATATGAGTAGTGATCGAATCTGCACATGTATTTGACATGGCCCTCTTCTGTGCTGGCCTTAAAGATCTGCTCATGCTGTCGTCAGCACTTTTCTTTTTCCAGTATTTGGAGTCCAACAAAGTAGCAAATGCCATAGGGTTAATTTCCTCTTCAACAGCAGCCCTGCCCAGATGTGAGTCCTTGGGTTATAGTTCTGGATTAAGAACGGCTAGCAAATCTGACTTGTCCATGGGTTCTCTGTGACTGCGGGACTAGGGGAATTCTATGGCTAATCTAAGAACTGAAATCTGTTCTTGAATATTTTTGAATTCTCAATCCAGTCCTAAGTCCTTCCCCCAACTGCTAGCTCAGCCTTCCTAGCCCTTAGTTGGTCCTTTAAGATCTTTCCTGATTCAAACTCCAGGGTCTGAGCTGATGAGCGATGAGCCACAGACATCTCACTTAGGTCTTCCTGGAATACCATGAGGAAGAGATGGAGGTCAAGCTCCCTGAGCACCTTCCCCAGACCTGATTCTTTGGCCCTCATCACTCAGCAGTAGAATGCAGACAGGCCTGCTTTCACCAGCCATAGACCGCAGGTTCTGAACATTGTCTAAAGACGGGAGTAAACTGGCTTACTGCCCATGTTTGCCCATGGATCAAAGCTCAAATGGTTATGGTGTACAGAGCCTGGGGTGGGACCCAACCGCATCTCCACTTTTGTTTAAGAGCAGTTTGTTTTCTCTTCCTCAAAGGTACCCTTTACATTCTGCAGGCAAGTCTATAGACACTTCGGTATTTACAGGAAGACCTGCTGGCATAACCGGTCTCGTGGTTATAGACCATGAAACAGAAGGTGCTTCTCCATTTTGGGAAATTTCATACAGCTAAGAATAAACTTGTACACTCAGAATAGATTTTTGGGTCTCACAAAACCTGGAAAAACTCTTTCTTAGTGTCTTGTTGTTTATGGAAAATAGGACATCTAAGTCGAGGCTCAATTCATTTCAAATTTTAGCTTAATTAAAAAAAAATACTGGTCTTTAAAAGTAAGGATTGTGGCCCTAACTGGTTTGGCCCAGTGGATAGAGCATCGGCCTGCGGACTGGAGGGTCCCGGGTTCGATTCCGGTCAGGGGCATGTGCCTTGGTTGCGGGCACATCCCCAGTGGGAGGTGTGCAGGAGGCAGCTGATTGATGTTTCTCTCATCGATGTTTCTAGCTCTCTGCCCCTCTCCTTCCTCTCTGTAAAAAATCAATAAAATTTTTTTTTTAAAAAAGTAAGGATTGTGTATAATTTGAACACTGGCTCAATAGCTTAGTTGATGAGACTCGGTGCTAATAAAGTTGACATTGCAGATTCCTTCTCAAGAATGTGTTATTCTGGGTGCAGAGCTCAGTGGGCCCTGTGAGAAGGATCAGAACCTTTTGACTCAAGAGACCCAGAGGTCTCTTAATTAAGCTGTATGTTCTCCCGTTGAAAGAAGTTATCCCCTACGTATTCCCAGAGGGAAGGGTAAGGGAGGAAGTGCAAGGAGTTTTAGCTGGCCCTGGGAACACCTGCTTGCCCCACTGTGTCCAGGACAGCCCAGTGCCAGGCTTCCTTGGCTGCTCCTGCTGATGAATGTGGAGAGAAAACATGGCAGACTGCATGAGAGGGTGTGCACTATGGCACCCCCCTCCGCGTGCCTGCCCGCTGACCCTTCCTCTACAGACAGGGTAGGAGGTCTTGGGCTCTTTTATAGAGTGATCAGGATTATACTAGGAAGGCATCCAGACTCTCTTCTCATTATCTACATCATTACTGCTTTCGCAAAGCACTAACCTTTCCTCTACATGTAGAGCAATCTGTTTAAGATGTGAATAGCCCCAAAATGCTTTCAAAGTGTTTCACAGAAAGCTAGGGGAACGGTTATGGCTGTACAGAACTGGCCCAATCATTTACTGTGTGGCAAAGAAGTTTAATTTAATTACGTGGTATTTTGCACAAATTGGAAGGAGGGAATGACAGGCATTTTGTGGTGTTCTGGGGAATAGAAGTCTGACATCCATACAAAATTTCCTCCTGATTTCACTACGTCTAAAAGCTAATAGCTGTTGCCTCCCCCGACCACAGACACCCATATACACCCCCCCCCCCCACTGGAGCCTTCATTAGACTAAGAAATGTACTTAAGATAGGAGACTAAAAGCATGTAGATGAAGTCATGCACATTTGTTGGAAACATTGCTTTAAGTAGATGCTGATTAGCAGAGGTCCTGTAAGATCCCTCAGGTGGGAAAGACATGACCGTGTTTATGAACATCGATTATGTATATATTACCTCATTCATTCCCAAATATCCTGAAGTTATTATCTACGTAAGACTGTATTTTGTTCAAAATGCTGTAGTAAGATTATTTCCATTTGGGTTAGCATCTGCTCTCTTCTCCCAAAGAGTTTCCTTTAGTTATGGAAATTTCACAGTCCAGGAAAAATTAAAAAAAGCTTTGTGGGTTTGTGAGTCAGTACTTCTGAGTTTTAATTTACTGACTGAGAACTTTGATAAGGCACCTGGCATCCTGGCGAGTTAGTTTCTACATGAGAAAAAGGGTGAGGGAGGGGAGGTGGAAAGACATCTTACACGCTGAAAAAAATATATTGTAAAGATTTTTAAAAGTCTGACATTCTAATATTGGCAGTGTTTTAAACGAGACGGTGCCAAGTCCGAGCATGCCATGAAGGCATGGGCAGGATGTATGCCAGACCTACCATAATGGTAGAGATTTTTGGGCATTGACTACACTTCCTGTTGTCTGAATAGACATGGGGGCAATTACAGAAAAGTGGCTGAGAGCCCAGGACAGAGGAAATAAAGGGAAGGCACAGCCACAGCTACTTTGACTTGGCGTTATACCATGTTGCCATCCTCTTGTCTTTATGAAACTCGAAGGGCCCTTGGGCAGCTGCCAAATAAACCTTAAATAATATTAAGAAGGGTTTATGTGAAAAATGAATAGGAGTAATGGGAATTTGGTAGGTCTGGTTAGTTAGAAGTTTGTGGTTAGTCAGATATTTGAGCAGCCATCTGTAGACATACCTCGGAGATATTGTAGGTTCGGTTCCAGACCACCACAATATAGTGAGCTGTAATTTTTTGCTGATGGAAGATTTTGCCTTTATTTTGTAAAAAAAAAACACACAACATCTGTGAAGCGCAATAAGACAAGGTATGCCTGTATGATTTTGATATTAAAGAGGAAGGATGATTTTTCACTGGGGTGGGTGAAGGCTCCATTCAAGAGAGAGCCGTTGTGGGTCAAGTGTAGACGGTAGTAAGGCATTAAAGAATTGTTAATGAAACACTCCTTGTGTGGGTGAAGGCTCATAAAAGCCTCTCTCCTGAGCTGGAGCATGTGCCAGCCTCAGGTAGATATGAGTGAGGCTGATTTTGCCACGATTAGCAGAGTTCGTTGAAAAAGAAGGGAAACATGGTCTTATTGGTGGATCTGAGTCTGTAACTGAGTTACAGCTCAGCCGCAGTAAAGCGCTCCAGGGCGCACCAAATGCTGTGTATTCATTGAAGGTTCCTGTTTGTCTCTTCCAGCTTCTGCTTCCTGCTCCCGGTACCTAATCTCTGCTCCTGCCTTCCACTTTCCTCCTAATGTGAGCTCAACTTTCAGCTTTCTCTCAGGTTCTCCCTTCTAGTCACTGGGCTGCACCCCTCTCCTACAGTGTGCCCTCTCTGTGTGTGTACAGTGAAGGGGTGTTCTTTAACCTTCCATTCCACGTTAGCGGAATAATACCCATTTCCTCCTATAACATGGGAAATTTGTCTCCTGCTCTGTCTTTATGACCAGAATAAATACTTATTTTTTTAACCCAAGTGTTAAAAAAAAATACAGAATCCACCCTGCAGCTGAAAAATATTTTCAATCTGATAAATACAGTTGTCCTACTACTTTCACATTATGTGACTTGTGAGATGTACCAGCTCTCTCCAGTGGCTTCAACTGTACTATTATACCGAATCATTCTGCATTTTAATGTATCTCCTGCTTGCTAGATAAGGGCCTAGTCCTTTTAGAGAAACCTAATTAAACTATTCAAGGACACCTCCACTTAAGTCCTATCTTGTTAGAAGTGTTCATAAGAAAAAAATAATTCGGAGCTCCAAATAATGCCTTAATTACTTCCAACAGCATTCAATATCGTAACATTTGACCACATTTGAATACCTCCCTTATGCCTGGTTAACTAGGTTGTAGCCTGTGGCCTTTGATTCTTTAAGTTTTTCTTTTTAGGACTGTACCCCTAGGAATGGAGGGGGGGGCGTTGTTATTAAAGAGCCATTTCCACACAGTTTTGCTCCTTCATTCTTAAATACTTTGGTGCTATTTGGGAGTTTCCCACTAATTTTATTAAACTCCTTTTTACAGCTCTTCCCCTTTACTTCCATTTCATGCCCATTTTCTATTCTTGTTTCCTGTCCAAATCTGCTTGAAAAACCATTCCTACTTTTTGCTTTACCTCCTAGTGAATCCTGTGACAAGTGAACCAGCAGTGTGAAATTTTTATGGGTCTATTCTCAGTTTTTTTTTTAAATCAAAATTCTACCTTGCCCATACCTGGTTTGTTTTAAGCTTACCTTAACCATTCAGGTCCTGGACCTTGGAACTAATTTGCATTGTTTATCACCGCACTGGTCTTGGCAGCAACGGGGCCACCCACGTGCCTGTGAGAGCCTCCTGGCCACCTTAACCTAAGCTGCTTCTGCATTTACTGGTTGAGGTGTTTCTGTTTGGGCCAGTGAAGGGTTACACACACTGAAGGACTAGGAACCCCCACCCCTAGTAGCCGTGTAACCATTTTTTATTATGTAAAAACTTACAGTTTTAGAATTCTGGCTTCCATCAGTGCTTGAATACCATGTATTTTATGCTCTTTAGGATTCGGTTTACCAGCTAGAACACCTGTGCTCACCCCACCCTATTCCACACTTTACAAACAGTTCATGATTCTCAGTCGGTTATGACTTCCCACTTCCCATTTTGTTAGCTTTATTCTCCATTGGTTTTGTTTTTTTAAGGTGTTAGAACTTATAGCTTTATTGGGCTATGCTTTCTTCTGGAGTCCTAATAAAATAGTTTGTGTCTCTTAAATTGTCCCACTTATGTGTCAGTTTTGACTTATTTTAAAAAGATTATGCCTCGTGAATTGAGCAAGTCAAGACTATAAGCGGAGGGAACTAAAAGATGCTTTATCAACGTGTCCTTTCCTAATTCCCAAAGCCAAATGCTCTTCCTCTCCTTGAAAATTTTCCCCTTCAGAATTTGTTCTTATAAAAGTCTGTCCTGTTTTTCCTTGGCACTTGAGTGAAACAATCACACTTCTTTCTTCTTGCGTGTGATATTTTCTCCTAATTTCCTGTCTGCAGAAACATTTTGTATGTGCCATTTTGTGTGTTGTGGCCTGTCTGAGCCTTTCTCCGAAGTCCAGCCCTAGTCCCACCCATCCTCAGTGGCTGCTACACTTAGGGCAGCCAAACAGTCTGGGAAGGGAATTCAGGGCATCCTCTTGGCTTCCAAGAGTCATCTGATACAATCACAGTGGCCTTAGTGTTCCTGTGAGAATTAACAGGCCAGGTTAGGGAGCCCTTAGACACCAAAGTAAATGTCAGGGCCCATCTCAGCAGAGTGCTAACTCATCACTGCCTATGCTAAGTGAAAGTTGTCCTTTTCCTTTTCCTAGAAGTTTCAGATACCTGCAAGAGAGACCTGTGTGGAATGTCAGAAGACAGTCTACCCGATGGAGCGTCTCTTGGCCAACCAGCAGGTGTTTCATGTCAGCTGCTTCCGTTGCTCCTATTGCAACAACAAACTTAGGTAAGTTAGACGGCAGCAAGCCATATCTCTGCATAGTTGGACCCCCTAGAAAGGAGTCTTTGGCTTTTAGAGCGCTGATACTGACAGCTATTGTGCTGATAGTGTGCTATTGAAGGCCCCTGAAAAAAGTAAAAAGTACCATTTAGTGACAAGTCTTTCATATCAAATGGTTGCGGTGTTTGGAACTTCTTGGTACATTGATATGTTAATTTACATGTTAGGACTGAAGCTTAAATAATAGAGTTGCAGGTAAGACTCCCTATGACCCAGTCAATAGAATGTTTTCCCTTTGTGTCAGAGAATCATAAAGTTAAGAAATTTTAGGAGGATAATTATCTAAGCCAAGGGTGGGCAAACTTTTTGACTCGAGGGCCACAATGGGTTCTTAAACTGGACCGGAGGGCCGGAACAAAAGCATGGATGGAGTGTTTGTGTGAACTAATATAAATTCAAAGTAAACATCATTACATAAAAGGGTACGGTCTTTTTTTTTTTTTTAGTTTTATTCATTTCAAACGGGCCGGATCCGGCCCGCGGGCCGTAGTTTGCCCACGGCTGATCTAAGCTCTTACTTCAAACTGTCCTGAGTGCTGTATAAATGGTAACAGCAATAATCATAGACCCAGAAGAGCATGTATTTTTCTGTATGTTGCTTCGTTTTCGCTCTGAGAAAAATAGTCATTATGTGTATCATTTCTTCCCAGTAACTCAAAGTATGGGATGTAAATGTGGCCAATTGGGGGAATAATCCATATTAATTCATTGTAAATTATAGAATCTAGAGAAGGAAGAAGCCAGGATGTCACTTCCTCCAGCTTTCCTTCCAGAGCAAGCATCCCTTCTAAAATGCTCTTGAAAGATGTCCTGGCATCTGCACGACACTTCTACAGGCTTGAGGCCTCACGACAGCCAGTTCCAGTGTGAGATGGCTCTATGTCGACAACATTCCTTCCACTGAGCCAGCGTGTGCCTCTCTAACTTCTACTTATTGGTTCCTTTTTTTCCACTTTATTTTTTTCCCCTCCAAAGCACATTTTTCTGAGTTTTTGAATTTTTATAGTTCTTCTGTGGAAAGGCTGCTGTTTTTATACCCCCTTTAAAATGTCTCACCCTGTGAGAGACACCAAATCTCCTAAAGGCCTGTCCAACACTGACATTATTTTAGATTTACGTCCTGGCAACTGCGCACCGTTCTCCTATTAACTGTATTCAGTCGCTAGTATCGGTTGAGTGCCAGCTTTTTGCAGCACATTGTACCCATTCCTGTAGCGATGTGCTTTTAAATTATAACACAAATGGGAAATTAGGAGGAAGAAGATTCAACTTTTACAAAGGAATACCATTATAAGTAGTTATAGGTTGTAAATACTTAGGAAATATATGAGTGATCAAAGATAGGTGGGTTTACCTAGGCAAGAGTTCCTGGATAAAGTTCTGTTTTTGTTTTTCTCACAGTTTTGACAAAGGGTAATGAAATCATTTGAAAATGAGAAAATGTACCAGGTAGAAAGATGTCTTGTGAAGGTGCAGGTCTGGAAGTGGGCGTGTTTTTTTTTAATAAGGATAATAAAACTGTTGTGCTTTAAAAGAGTAGAGAACCCAGCTGGTGTTGCTCAGTGGTTGAGCATCCACCTATGAGCCAGGAGGTTACAGTTCAATTCCTGGTCAGGGCACATGCTTCGGTTGCTGGCTCAGTCCCCAGTAGGGGGCATGTAGGAGGCAGCTGATCAATGATTCTCTCTCATCATTGATGTTTCTATCTCTCTCTCCCTTCCTCTCTGAAATTAATTTTAAAAATATATTTTTAAAAAGAGTAGAGAAAAAAATAAATAAATACACCTTAATGCTACAGAATAAAGATAAATAAAGTAGAGAATCCTAGGTGATTGATGTGTTTTTATATTTTTCTCACTTGTCATCTTCTGAAAATACTGCAATTGCCAGATTGCAGCCTGCTGGTGTAAATAAGAACATACAGATTTGTTAACTTCATGCTCCTTTTCTTTCAACAACAGTCTTGGAACATATGCATCACTACATGGGAGAATCTATTGCAAGCCTCACTTCAATCAACTCTTTAAATCTAAAGGCAACTATGATGAAGGCTTTGGGCACAGACCACACAAAGATCTGTGGGCAAGCAAAAATGAAAATGAAGAGACACTGGAGAGACCAGCCCAACTTCCAAATGCAGGGGAGACCCCTCAGAGCTCAGGGGTAGAAGATGCCCCCATTGCTAAGGTGGGTGTGCTGACCGCAAGCATGGAAGCCAAGGCCTCCTCTCAGCCAGAGAAAGAAGACAGGCCAGCTGAAACCAAGAAGTTAAGGATCGCCTGGCCGCCCCCCACTGAACTTGGCAGTTCAGGAAGTACATTGGAGGAAGGAATAAAAGTATCCAAGCCCAAATGGCCTCCTGAGGATGAAATCAGCAAGCCTGAAGCGCTGGAGGATGTAGATCTGGATCTGAAGAAGTTGAGACGATCTTCTTCGCTGAAGGAAAGAAGCCGCCCATTCACTGTAGCAGCTTCATTCCGAACCCCTTCCGTCAAGAGCCCCAAATCCTTGTCCCCACCTCTCAGGAAGGGCTGGAGCGTGTCAGAGCAGAGTGAGGAGTTTGTAGGAGGAACAGCAGCAGGAAGGAAACAAGTGGAAAATGCCGATGCCTCTGAGAAGAATGGGAGTGTGGGAAAAACAACCTGGCAAAACCAGGAATCTAAAGGAGGGGAGGCGGGGAGGAGAAGTAAGGAAGTTTATGGTTTTGAGATGGGGAGTGAGAATCTTGTAGAAAATGGTGCAAACTTAGATGAAGATGATAGAAACCTTTTCAATCAGCAGTCTCCACTAGAACCCAAGTCTCCAAATTGGTCCAGCTTTGCAGACAACACCTCTCCTAAAGAATTCACTACTCAGAATCAGAAGTCCCAGGATGTGGGATTCTGGGAGGGAGACGTAGTCAAAGAGCTGTCTGTAGAGGAGCAGATAAAGAGAAATCGGTACTATGATGATGAGGATGAGGATGAGGATGAGGAATGATAAACTGCAGTGGCGCTGGGCCTTACCTTGTGCTAGTGTTAGTGAGCCACTGCCCTTTATCAGAGTGATGTATGTATACAGTTATCTTAGCATAAACTGTAACTTATGGGGAAGTAATTTTGGGAAACAGTTCTTGCTTCAAAAAAAAAAAAATCCCATACTGCAGCTTATCTCTAAATGCTAGAGATAACATTACCTAAATCCTCTATTTTAGCCATGATGATATACATAAGTGCGTTAAGGTCTTATAAAAAAGGAGGGGAATATTCCAACTGATATAGTCCAGATTCCACTGTGTTCCCCAAAGGCAATATGAAATATATAGATGATTAGTATAGTACATTGTTACTCTAAAAATTGAATCATTCAGAGGGATTTAGGGGCCTAAACAATATTACTGTATGCACTTTAGTATAAAGGGCACAGTTTGTATATTTTTAAATGAATACCAATTTAATAATTTAGTATTCAATTATTAAGAAATCAAATATTTAGTCTTTTTTAAAATTTTAGGTTAACTATCTTACTCAGATATATATGGGGGATTTGCTTTGCATCCTGCTCTTTAAACCACATCCTAAACTGGATTCTTGAGATATAACACAACCACCTTTCTGAAACATCTTTTAGGCACCTTTGGTGCTTGGAGAGATCCACTGTCTCCCAAGTAAACTATAATATTTGCCAATAAGTGTGACTATACCCCAAGTGATTGATTGCTTCTCTGGTGGTAGCTGTGGTTCTCATAATTTGCTAAAAGATACAATATTTTATTAAGATTTTTATATTACTGTTTAATGTTTCATGTTACAGCAAAATGAGTTTAAAGAAGGAATAAGGGGGGGGGGGGTTTGTACACTGCCTTAAACCAATTGAGCTCAGACCCCCAAACCATATATTTCACTTCAGATATCCCCTTTCTGGGACACTAATTTTTTAATTCCTATCAGCTCTGAAATGTATTGATTTTTATGGCAAACAGTATCCCCAGGGTGCAATTAAACCAATTATAGGCCTTTGTGTGTATGTGGTGGTGGTGGGGGGGGGGGGGGGAGTTATGTTAAGTCGTTGGAACATTATAAACTTGAGTACATTTGTTGTACATAATTGATATTCCAAATTATATGTGGTGAAGGGAGGTGTTAAGCTATAGGCTTTTCTTTGTACTACATTTTTAGAAATTTAGCTCTAATATTTTTTAGAAATGTAAAATGTTCTGCTTTCTTACAGTCTTGCTTAGTCTGAAACATTTTTATTCAATAAAGCTTTAAATTTACATTTGAACTTTTCAATGTTGCTTTTTCATTATTTTTTTTTTTTTACATTGTTACAGTCTCTCAGGACCTACTTTTACCTTAGTTTGGAAAGAAAGATCTGATGTGGGTTTAACTGAAGTGCTATTAATATACCTCACCACTAGGTGGTGGTGTTGGGATGATTTTAGGGGCTTTCATCCTGAAGGAAGACAAATTTTTCTTGAAAATTGAAAGCCACTTGGCAAGAGAATTAATGTGTACATTCAAAATGAGCCATTGTTTTACCAGTTCAGAATACAATTGTGGGTTTTTATTGTTAATTGTACTCAACATTTAATAATTTACCTTAAAATTAGGCCTAAAATGCCAAATGGAATTTCCAAATGCCTCTGCTGAAAATGGACTTGTTTTCCACTCTGAGCAAAGGCATAGTTGGTTGTTTGATTTCCTTGCCTGCACAGGCAATCAACCCAATTGTTAAGGCACTTTTTTTTTTAATGGGAAGTATGGATTTTCTTGGAGATAGGAATGCTTTTTGAGTCATTTGCTGTTTTTCAGGTGTACTGTGCATTTCAGGGTTTTGCCTGGTTTTCTAACTACTTTTTGCTCTTGCTCCACCATAAGTTAAAGTCGGTTAGAAAGCCTTGTTCACTGAACAGTTATCCAGAAGCTCCTGCTGACCTTCATAAAATATCCAATCCTGGCTTCAGTTTAGCTGCCCTTACTGTGACACACTGCTACTCTAACTTATCTACATGATACAATATCTACAGACTTTAAACAATAAAGTCTGAGTGCCTATGGCTGGCATTTATGGTTATCAGTTGAGTATGTCACCATATATCAGGTACATGGGGACTGAGTACACTAGAACCCTTTTCTATGCCTTTCAAGGGCTAAGGTAGACATATTATAGGTAAAAGAGTAGAAATGAGGACTAGCTCCATAATCAATATAATAAAAGTGTCATTTAAGAGAATGACCAGATAAACATTCTTAGAAAAACAAAAATGACAGCCAAATAAAAAGTGCTTATTGTTTATTCTCTCAGCTCTCCTGAATGAAGGCAACTTGTTTGGACTTGATATGCTGATGGTGGCAATAGGATGATGTTTCTCATTTGGTGAAGTGGGAAAAGGAGACTATTCAACACCATCTTGCTGGTGGGATCACTTCTGGCCAAAGCTTCCATTACATATTTCATGAGCAATATGTTTTGTAACAGCCAAGAGGTTGAGAAATGGTACAAATGTGTTTTGTACCATTTGGGGATAGAGCATATTCGTATATACCTGGTATATATTTAGGGTGTCCCAAAATTCACGGAAGAAGTAATTTTGATAGAAAACACAGGTTTATAATTAAAAATTGTAAATTTTTTATTGATTAATAAAGTATACAGTATAGGGTTATGTATGGAATAGCACATCGGGTAAATGCCTCCACGGCTTTGCTGGCACATACGCAAAGCCGTGGTCTTCATTGGTCTTCATTGTCCCTGCTCCTGGGCCATAACTGGTACTTGGTAATGCTTATCAAATTGAAGGGATTGAAATCAAAGGGCAACAGATATTAGAATCTGATTCAATAAACCAAGTAAAATTAGGCTTTTATTTTTTGTTGTTGGTAATCTCCCCCCCAAAATTCCAAATCTTTATGTGAATTTTGGGCACCCCCCTATATTTTTTTTTTTTTATGAGGAAGGGAGAGGGGAGGAGACCCCATCCTGATGTGAGAAACCGTTAAATTGGTTTCCCTGCTGCACCGCCCCCCCCACTGGGGGATCAAACCCTGCAACCGGGGCATGTGCCCTGACTGGGAGTTGACCCTGCAACTCTTTAGTCCATGGGCCTCCCTCACCCGAGCCACACAGCTAGGGCTGGGGATAGCTCTTGAGACCAAGACCATTGTGTGTTTGTTCCCCCCATGCCAAGTTAGCACGTTCTCTGTTCCTTGGGGCTCTGATTTCAATTACCATGGGATCATGGAGGATTTACTTTTTAAAAAATGTATCTTGAATACAGATAGGGTAGTTCCCATTAAGCTATTGTTGGGTTTGGAGAAAAATGGTTTCAGGCAGTGGTTCTCAGACCAGCAGCAAAGGCATCACCTATGAGTTTTTTAGAAATTAGAAATGCAAATTCATGGGCCCTACCCTGAACCTCCTGAATCAATCTCTGTGGACGGGGCTCAGGAAACTTTTAATGAACTCTCCATGTAGGGGATGGAACAAGCTAATGGCTGAACTGGGGCGCACTGAAGTTTGAGAACCACGGAGTTAAAGCAAACCTAATGTACTCCTTAGAATGGCTGGAGTTTTGTTTTTTCCTTTTCTCTCTTTGAAACCCTTTAACTGCTGCCATACCAGTTATAGTTACTTTATCTGTCCTTAGATAAGAGGTAGAGATTTAGATTTTTAACTTATTTTAAAACCATTCTAGTTAGCCACTGGCGGTGAAGAGTAGGCGGGTCCAGCTGAGATGAGGGGGAGTAGAGGGATGAGTACAGCCTGCCTGGGAACGGGAACAGCTTTGAGTTGCCTGGGCTGAGAAAAAGGAATGTCCCTGTTAGGGAGCTAGACCCGAAGAAGCGTAGCCGAAACTGATAGCAACCAGTGGGGGTGGGGCCAGGACTGGGGGCGGGGCTGAGTGAGGGGCGTGGCTCCGAGGCGGGGGGCGGGGGCGGGGCTCGGGAAGGGGTGTGGCCAGCCTGGAGGGCGGGGTCCACCACGAAGTCCCGTGGGAGTCCACGGCGAGCGAGGTTGGGCGGGGAGGGCGAGAGGGGGCGTCGGAGAGGGCCGGGCTTCGCCGAGGAGGCTCGGGCTTCCCCGGAGGAAGCCTCGGGGAAGGGGTGTGACCAGGCCTGAGACGTGCGAGGAAC